AAGCCCGCCGGCGAGGGCTTCATGGACCACTTCGCGACGACCGCGGGCTCGTTCAAGGGCAAGGACGGCGGCTCCAAGCCCAAGAGCACCTCGTCCGGGACTCCCGACTGGCTGAGCGAGGCGCCGGCGCCTACGTGGACTCCTACGAGGAAGCCTGAAGCAGGCGGCACGTACATGCCCGCCCCGGCCACGCCCGCGCCCGCCCGCGTCGCGCGCGGCCCCGACGGTCGCATTCGCGAAGTCGCGGATGGGGGCGCCAAGGCCGCCGACGGCATCTCGATGGACCACTTCGCGGCGACGGCGGGCTACGTGCCGCCGCTCGGCGGCCGCGTCGCCGGGTCCCTGGACGCTTTCGCGCAGGACAAGCGCGAGGCCACGGGCTTCTCGTCCGGGACCGACCGGCTGAGCGCGCCGCCGCAGCCGTCCTTCGCCGCGCCGCCCATGGCCTCCGTCGCTCAGCCCGCCTTTGGCGGCGCGCAGGACCACTTCGCGACCAAGGACGTTGACAGCGGCTTGATGAATGATCTCGAGCGAGAGGTCCGAGAGACCGAGGAGCTTCTGCGACGCCTGAAGGCGGCCCAGGCCGCCGTCGCCGCGGGCGTCGACGCCGCGTCGCGGGCGTCACCCGCCGCCAAGGCCGTTCCAGCCAAGGCCGCTGGTGGCGGCATTATGGACCGCTTCGCGTCGACGGCGGGCGCGTTCAAGGGCATGGACCGCGACTCCACCGCGTCCGGCCCCGCTTGGCCCTCCTTCTCGAAATCCGCCACGGCCGCCGCCCCGCCACGGCCGCCGCCCCGCCGCGCCGCTGCCGCCCCGCCACGGCCGCCGCCGCGCCGCGCCGCTGCCGTCCCGCCGCGGCCGCCGCCCCGCCCCGCCGCGGCCGCCCCGCCGCGGCCGCCGCCCCGCCCCGCCGCTGCTGCCCCGACCACGGCTGCGGGCCGTGGCTCGATGCGCCGCTTCGCACCCTCCGCGGGCGCCTACGACTACAAGACCACGATCCAAAGCAGGCGGGCCGAGCAGGCGGAGCGTCGAGCCGCCTGGCTCTCCGGTTCCGCCGTCGGCACGCCTCCCCCCGCGGCCACGGCCGCGCCCGCCAAGGCCAAGGCCGACGCGGCCATGGCCAAGGCCGACGCGGCTGCCAAAGAGCGCCAAGTCGTCGCGGCTCGCCTCGCCGACAAGGCCAAGGCCGACGCGACTGCCAGGGCCAAGGCCGACGCCGCCGCCAAGGCCAGGGCCTACGAGGACGCCAAGGAGGCCACGGCGGCGACGCCCGCCTTGGTTGGGTTCAAGGGCACGAACCGAGGCACGTGGCCCGACCAGGCGGAGCGCAGAAACGCCTGGCTCTCCGGTTCTGCCGCCTCCACGGCCGCCCCCGCGGCCACGGCCGCGCCCGACAAGGCGGCCACCCCCGTGGCGGACCGCCCCCCTTTGGTTGGGTTCAAGGGCACGGACCCAGGCACGTGGGCCGACCAGGCGGAGCGCAGAGCCGCCTGGCTCTCCGGCACCTCCGCCGCCGCGGCCGCCCCCGCGACGACTGCTCCCCCGGACAAGGCCGCCGGCGACGGCTACATGGACCACTTTGCGTCGAGCGCGGGCTCGCTCAAGGGCAGGGGCCGTGCATTCAAGGCCAAGAGCACCTCGTCCGGCACTCCTGACTGGCTGGGCGCGGCGCCGCTGGCATCGCCCGCGGCCGCGGCCGCCCCGGCCAGGGCCGCGGCCCCGCCCGCCCCGGCCAGGCCGCCCCCGCCAAGGGCGAGGCCGCCTCCGCCGAGGGCCCCGGCGGCGGTGAAGGACGAGACGCCCGACAAGCCCGCCGGCGAGGGCTTCATGGACCACTTCGCGACCGCGGGCTCGTTCAAGGGCAAGGAGCGTGACTTCAAGCCGGCCACGGGCGCCTCGTCCGGGACTCCTGACTGGCTGGGCGCGGCGCCGCCGGCGTCGCCCGCGGCCACGACGGCTCCGGTCAGGCCGCCTCCGCCGAGGGCCCCGGCGGCGGTGAAGGACGAGACTCCCGACAAGCCCGCCGGCGAGGGCTTCATGGACCACTTCGCGACCGCGGGCTCGTTCAAGGGCAAGGACCGTGACGTCAAGCCGGCCACGGGCGCCTCGTCCGGGACTCCTGACTGGCTAGGCGCGGCGCCGGCGGCGTCGCCCGCGGCCACGGCCGCCCCGGTCAGGCCGCCCCCGCCAAGGGCCGCGCCAAGGGCCCCGCTGAGGGTCCCTGCGGCGGCAAAGGAAGAAACCCCCGACAAGCCCGCCGGCGAGGGCTTCATGGACCACTTCTCGTCGAGCGCGGGCTCGTTCAAGGGCAAGGAGCATGACCTCAAGGCCAAGAGCACCTCGTCCGGGACTCCTGACTGGCTGAGCCCGGCGCCGCTGGCGTCGCCCGCGGCCGCGGCCGCCCCGGCCAGGGCCACGGCCCCGCCCCCACGCCCCGTCTCGGCCTCGTTGGGGCTGGAAGCAGCCCAGGCCGTCGCCGGGCGCGAGCCGCGCCGCGTCGAGCGCGGCGCCGACGGCCGTCTTCGCGAAGTTGCAGGCGGGGGCGCCGAGGCCGCGGCCCCAGCCGCCCCGGCCGGGGCCGCGGCCCCGCCCGCTCCGGCCAGGGCCGCCCCCGCCAAGGCCCCCGCCGGCGGCAGCACGCGCGCCTTCAAGGACGAAACCCCCGACAAGCCTGCCGGCGAGGGCTTCATGGACCACTTCTCGTCGCCCGCGCCCTCGTTCAAGGGCAAGGACCGTGACTTCAAGGCGGCCACGGGCGCCTCGTCCGGGACTCCTGACTGGCTGGGCGCGGCGCCGCAGGCGTCGTCCGCGGCCACGCCCGCGCCCGCCAAGGCCGCGATTTCCCCGCCACGCCCCGTCTCGGCCTCGTTGGTGCCGGATGCAGCCCAGGCCGTCGCCGGGCGCGAGCCGCGCCGCGTCGAGCGCGGCCCCGACGGCCGTCTTCGCGAAGTCGCGGGGATGAGCGCGGCGCCGCTGGCGTCGCCCTCGACCACGGCCGCCCCGGCCAGGCCCGCGGCCCCGCCCGCCCCGGCCAGGGCCGCCCCCGCCAAGGCTACCGCCGGCGGCAGCACGCGCGCCTTCAAGGACGAAACCCCCGACAAGCCCGCCGGCGAGGGCTTCATGGACCACTTCTCGTCGCCCGCGCCCTCGTTCAAGGGCAAGGACCGTGACTTCAAGGCGCCGCCGGCGTCGCCCGCGGCCCCGCCCGCCCCGGCCAGGGCCGCCCCCGCCAAGGCTACCGCCGGCGGCAGCACGCGCGCCTTCAAGGACGAAACCCCCGACAAGCCCGCCGGCGAGGGCTTCATGGACCACTTCTCGTCGCCTGCGCCCTCGTTCAAGGGCAAGGACCGTGACTTCAAGGCGCCGCCGGCGTCGCCCGCGGCCCCGCCCGCCCCGGCCAAGACCGCCCCCGCAAAGGGTCCCGCCGGCGGCAACAGCGACCGCTTCGCGTCATCGTCGCGCGCCTTCAAGGACGAAATCCCCGACAAGCCCGCTGGCGAGGGCTTCATGGACCACTTCTCGTCGCCCGCGCCCTCGTTCAAGGGCAAGGACCGTGACTTCAAGGCGCCGCCGGCGTCGCCCGCGGCCCCGCCCGCCCCGGCCAGGGCCGCCCCCGCCAAGGCCCCCGCCGGCGGCAACAGCGACCGCTTCGCGTCGTCGTCGCGCGCCTTCAAGGACGAAACCCCCGACAAGCCCGCTGGCGAGGGCTTCATGGACCACTTCTCGTCGCCCGCGCCCTCGTTCAAGGGCAAGGACCGTGAATCCAAGGCCAAGAGCACCTCGTCTTGGACTCCTGACTGGCTGAACCCGGTGCAGCACGCTTCGGCCGCGGCCGCTCTCGCCTCCGCCAAGGACTCTGGCGAAAAGGCCGCAGCCGGCGGCTCGAGGGACCGCTTCGCGACGACGGCGGGCACGTTCAAGGGCAAGGACGAAACCCCCGACAAGCCCGCCGGCGAGGGCTACATGGACCACTTCGCGTCGCCCGCGCCCTCGTTCAAGGGCAAGGACCGTGACGTCAAGGCGGCCACGGGCGCCTCGTCCGGGACTCCTGACTCGCTGGGCGCGGCGCCGCCGGCGTCGCCCGCGGCCGCTCTCGCCTCCGCCGAGAAAACGCCCGCCAAGGCCGCCGTTGGCGTCCCGATCCATCCGTCGACGGCGGGCGCGTTCAAGGGCAAGCCCGCGGGCGGCTCGTCCACGCCGGCCTGGTTCGCGAGCGTCCAAGCTTGGCTGGCGAAGGACGGTCCCGCCAAGACCGCCGCCGCCGCGGGCGCGCGGGCCGCGGCGCTGAGCGCCGCCGAGTCGAGCGCTGACGGGTTGCAGCGCGAGATCCGCGAGACGGAGGAGCGGCTGCGATGCCTGCAGGAGGCCGAAGCCGCGCACAAGCGCGACGCCACGATCACCAAGACGCTCTTCGACTTCATCGGCGAGTGCGAGGCCGCGGGCGTCGACACCGCGCCGCTGAAGGACGTCGCCGCCATGGTCGCCGGCGGGCCCGCGGTCGCTTCGAGGTAACGGCACACGAGTCTAGGGCTCCGATTGCTACAGAGTAACGACACACGAGTCTATCGACCCGACCGCGCTAAGTCGCCCGGGCGAGCGCCGGTCTTACGACGCGCGCGGACGCCCCCTCAGAACGCGCGGTTCGGGAAGCGCACGGACGCGCCCTCGGCCGTGTCGCGCGTCCAGCGATTTCGGTACTCGACGAGCGCCTCGTTCTGGAGGCCGCCCTTCATCGCGAAGCTCGTGCAGAACTCCTTGGAGTCCTGCGTGACCGTCTTCCACTCCTTGCTGTTGGACTGCTTGTCCGGCGCGATGACGTTGCCGTAGTCGAAGCGCTCGTTCGTGTCGTCGCGCTTCACGCCGGAGCCGAAGGTCTGGGCGACGACGGGCTGGCCGCTGTAGCCCGTGGCCTGCTGCTCCATGGTCGTCGTCACGAAGCGGGACGTCGTGAAGCCGCCGGCGGGCGTGAGGTTCGGGCGGTAGGTCTCCTCGATCCAGTTACTAATCAAGGTCTTATGGCCATAGATCTTGCGCCCCCCGCGGAGCGAGTTCGTGCCGATGGTCTTGTCCATGCTGTAACAGCGCGCTGGGATACATACACGGACGGCACCTTGAAATGCAACATCTTTGCTGTAACGAGAGGCAGCGCGGTTGTGGGGGCTGCCGGCCGTCGCAGCGTCCCGTGGCGGCGCGCGGCCATGATGGCCGGCCGCGCCGACGAGCTGGGCGAGACGGGCGCCTACGACGAGGCGAAATACGAGACGCACGCGGGCGAATTTTTCGACGGTCCCATGGACGGCGCCCTGGAGTCGAAGTACGGCGACCTCTTCGCCGGCTACGACGAGGACGGCGAGGCGCTCGGGTCGCCGGCGGAGGAGACGGTGGCCTCCGGCGGCACGCAGAAGACGCTGGCGACGCTCGCGACGGCGCGCTTCCGCGCCATGAGCGACAAGGAGCTCGTGAAGATGGTGCGCGAGCTCGACGGCGCGACGGGCGAGCGCGCGGCGACGCGCAAGGCCGCGGACGAGGCGGCGCTCGTCGCGGACCAGGAGCTGACGCGGGCCGTGCAGCAGGACCGGCTCGCCGGCGAGGCCGCCCGGGTCTACCGGGAGCTCGAGGCCGCGGCGAACGCGCACCCGCTCGGCCGGAGCTCGCTGTCCAAGGCGGAGCTCGCGGCGCTCGCGGACGCGAAGCGCGCGGCCCTGGGCGCCGACGCCGCCGCTCAACGCCAGCGGGCGACGGCGGCGCGGGAGCGCGACGCGGAGCGCGTCGCGGAGCACGTCGCGCAGCGCACGGAGCGGTCGTGCGCCGCCCTCGCGGAGAAGGCGCTCAAGGCCAAGGCGGCCAAGGCGGAGAAGCTCGAGGCCGCGGCGCTCAAGGCGCGGGAGACCGTGGACCTCGAGATCGCCGGCGCGGAGCGGCGCGTGCGGGCCCACGAGGGCCGCCTCGACGCCGCGCGGACGCGGCGCGCGGAAAAACAAGCGCTCGACGACCGCAAGGCGCGCGCGGCCGTCGAGGGCCGCACGAAGGCGAAGCGGCGCGTGGCGCGGAGCGGCGCCGTGACGCGCGAGGTGCGCGCCCACTGCGAGGACGCGCGGCGCGCGGAGCGCGAGGACCGCGCGGAAGCCGTGCTCCAGCTCAAGGCGGACACGGACGCGGCGACGGTCGAGCTCCGGGGCCGCAACGAGAAGGCGGCCATGCGCAAGCAGGCGAAGCGCGACGAGTTCGCCCGGGAGAAGGCGCGCTTGGAGGCGCGGGGCGAGAACCCCTACGAGGTCTTCCGGCGCCGCGAGGTCGAGGACGAGGCGCGGACGCGCGCGGCCGCCGCGCACGCGAAGATCGAGGCGAAGCGCCGCGCCGTCATCGAGCGCATCGCCGTCGACGACGCGCGCCAGCGCAAGATCGAGGCCCACGAGGCCCACGCGGCGGCTTTGGAAAAGGCGCACCGCGACGCGCTCGGCCGCAACTTCACGGAGGCGCGGACGATGGAGTACCTGCTGAGCCGCACGGGCAAGAGCCTCGTGGACCCGACGGGCCGGTCCACCGTGCCCATGTTCCCCTCGCAGGAGACGAAGATCCTGGACCACACCTTTGGGACGGGCAAGAACTCGCGGAAGACGGAGGCGCAGCGCCGCGAGCTCATCCGCGACCTGGCGAAGCTCCCGGCGAACGAGACCGTCGCCGAGGACCTGGGCGAGTTCGGGCGTTTGATCCCCAAGCTCCGCAGCGTCGACGACTCGAGCGTCGCGCGGAAGAAGAAGGACGACGGCGGCGACGGCGGCGGCGGCGCGCTGAAGACGCTCCAGGGCCTGCTGCCCCCCGACGAGGCGCCGCCGGGCGAGGCGCTGAACGCGTCCCAGGCCAAGCTCGCGGGCGAGGTCGCCCAGGCCGGCGCCGGCGACGAGGCCGAGGCCGCCAAGGCGCCGCGGAAGCACGGCTCGGAGCTCTCGAAATTCGAGCGCGACTGCCTCGCGCGCGCGCAGCGGCGCCAGAAGGACCGCCTCGCCTCCGGCGCGCCCCAGATCATCGCGGGCCGCACGCTGCGGTCCGCGGCCTTCGTCGCCGAGCCCACGCGCATCGAGTTCAAGGACTTCGCCGTCGGCGAGAGCCACCACCGGAAGATCACGCTCACGAACGTGTCGCTGTCCTTCAACAACTTCAAGGTGCTGCCCCTCGGCGACGCCATCGTCGACTTCTTCGACGTGTCCTACGTCAAGCCCGGCCGCATGTCCGCGGGCACGTCCTGCGTCATCGACGTCACGTTCACGCCCCAGGTCGACGAGGACATCTTCGACGAGCTCCCCCTCCTCGCGGCGACGGGGCCCTTCTCCGTGCCCATCGTCTGCACGAAAAAAAAGGTCGTGCCGTCGATCTCGGACCCCCACGTCCAGTTCGACAACGTCGTCATGGGCGAGACGTCGACGTTCTCGTTGATCATCAAGAACCAGGGCGCGCTGCCCACGAAGTTCGAGTTCTTCGACCCGAAGACGGGCGCGCCCGCGGGCATCGTGTCCCGGCCGGCGACGCCCGGCGGCAAGAGCCCGCGCGGCGGCGCGGCGTCGCCCGCGCCCGCGGCCGCGGACGCCGCGGCGCCCGAGGACGACGCGTCGCTCGACGACGACGGCGACGACGACGACGACGCCAGGGAGCGCGCCCTGCTGGACCAGGCCGCGTCCGTCGGCGCGGCGGCGCTCAAGTACGCCGACGGCCTCGGGCCCATCCAGTACGCGAACGGCGGCGAGGTCGCGGGCTACGCCGAGGTCGCGCACGTGATCAAGTTCGCGCCGCTCCGCGCGGGCTACGCGCGGGAGCAGGTGGCCATCCGCTTCGAGGGCTTCGCCGAGACCATCCCGCTGAGCATCATCGGGTCGTCCATCGAGGTGCCCATCTACGTCGCGGAGCCCGTCGTCGACATGCGCTGCGCCGTCTACGGCAAACTCTACCGGAAGAAGCTCATGCTGCGGAACCGGGGCAAGATCGCCTTCAAGGCCATCGCGCGGGCGCCCAAGGAGTTCCGCGAGTTCTTCGAGTACCAGCCGGACATGGGCTTCGTGCAGCCGGGCGCGGACTTTGAGATGTCGATCAAGTTCCGGCCGACGCCGGCCGTCGTCGACCGCTGCGCGCCCTACTGCATCAAGGACCGGGGCATCATCGCGGTGCCCATGCGGATCATGGTGCCGGACCAGGCCCTCCCCGTCTACTACACGCTGCGGGCCCAGCTCACGCGGTCCGACGTGTCCTTCTCGACGACCGCGCTCGACTACGGGCCGTGCTACGTCACGGAAGCTCTGAGCGCGCCCGTCGTGCTCACGAACGAGTCGGCGCTCCCCCAGAAGTTCGGCTTCGTCAACCTCAGCGCCGAGGTCGACGTCCAGCCCAACGACGGCTTCGGCGTGCTCCTGCCGCGCGAGTCGCGGACCGTGGACGTCATCTTCAAGCCCGTGTCCGCGGTCAACGTCGACCTCAACCTGACCATGCGCACGACGATGAACAACACCTACGCCATCAAGGTGCGGGGCCGGGGGCTGGAGCCGGCGCTCAAGTTCTCCTTCACCGTGCTCAAGTTCCCGCCCGCGTCGCCGGGCGACCGCGTCGTCGCGTCGGTCCTCGTGTCGCACCCGTCGGCGCCCGGCGCGAAGCGCGAGGCGGCGCCGCGGACCTTCGAACTCGTCGTCCCCAAGCCCCTGCTGAGCTTCCTGACCGTGCAGCCCGCGGTCGCGACGGTCGCGCCGGGCGAGACGCGCCGCGTGGAAATCTCGTTCGCGCCGCCGCGGTCCAAGGGGCCCCGGGACACGCCGAGCCTCCGGGACGCCAACGTCCAGCCCAAGGCGCGGGACCTCGACGCCGTCTTCGGCCACGCGCCGCCGCCGCCGCCGGACGACGCGGAGCCCGAGCCGGAGCCCGACGACGACGCGCGGGAGGCCGCCGCGGCCGCGAAGCGGGCGAGGGACGCGGAGCTCAAGGCCGCCCGGGACGCGGCCTACGCCGCGGCGACGACGCCGCCGGAGCCCTTCGAGGGCACGCTCACCGTGAGCGTCCACGGCGTCAAGGGCCTCGACGGCTACGGCGGGCCTCCCAAGAGCGACCGCGACGCGCGGGAGCCGTGGAGCGAGCACGCGGTCTGGAAGATCCCCTGCTACGTGCAGTCGTCGGCGGCGGAGCCGCCGCCGCCCCTCTTCCTCGAGGTGCAGACGACGACGGTGGAGCGCACGTTCTGGTGCGACTGCGAGAAGATCGACTTCGGGCAGCTCGCCGTCGGCCAGACGTCGACGCTGCCGCTCCGCCTGCGGAACCTCGCGGCCGACGGCCCGCCCCTCGAGGTCAAGGCCGTGCCGGGCCTCAACGGCGTCGGGCCCTTCATGATGGTCAACGCGCTCCGGCCGCTCCACCCGAAAGCGCCGCCGCACTCGGCGCTGCTCCAGTTCGCGCCGACGGCGCGCGGCGTGCGGTCCGAGCACCTGGAGCTGGTCTGCCCGGCGCTGGGCCGCACGGTGCGCGTCGCCCTGCGCGGCGAGGGCGTGTCGCCGACGCTGGAGCTCGACCCGCCGGACGGCTTCGTCGACATGGGCCACGTGTTTGTGGGTTGCGCGCGGACGAAGGAGCTGCTGCTGCACAACACGTCCGTGTTCCCGCTGTCCTTCTGCCTCACGCCCCTGGGCGAGCCCGTGCCGCGCGAGAACCGCGACGCGTCCGCGCCCTTCGTGTGCGTGCCGTCCGAGGCGACGGTCGCGCCCGGGGCAGCAAAAGAGAGCGAAATTCCCAACTTCAAAGGCTCCGATCTCGGCCGTTTTCCACTCGTTTTGGCTGATTTTTGGACGAGCGATCATCTCTCGGAACGGTCTCGAAGCGTGGATGCTTTTTCCGGAACGCGCGCGCGCGGCACACTCACGTTGAAGCGAACTTGAATCACTCTTGTGCTGCCCAGGTCGCGCCGGGCGCGACGCTCGCCGTGAAGATCAAGTTCCGGCCGGACCACGGCCGCGTCTGGGCCTACTACCAGAAGCTGCGCGTCGAGGTGCCCAACGAGGACAAGCGCCACGTGCTCACGGTGCTCGGCCGCTGCCACGACCACCAGATGTACGTCGTCGCGGACGACCGGCCGCTGAGCCTCGGCGCGGCCTTCGAGGACCCCTTCGGGCTGCCGGCGGAGCTCGACGACGCCGCGGCCGAGGTGCGGGACATGATGGGCCTGGGCCCGCCCGTGAACCCGAAGATCGCCATCCGCTTCCCGCGCGTCGCGGACCGGCCCAAGGCCGACGACGGCGGCGACGACGGCGACCGCGCCGCGTCCGCGTCCGTGCTCGTGGGCTGCTGCGCCGCCGACGCGCCCGACGGCGGGCCCCGCGCACCGAAGAAGCCCGCGAGCCTCGGGTCCAACGGCACCTTCGAGGTCGAGCTCGACGCCGCGACCAAGGCCGCGGGCTACTTCGCCGCGAGCCCGGACAAGGGCACGGTGCCCGCGGGCGGCACGGCGCCCGTCGCCTTCACCTTCACGCCGCCCGAGGCCCAGGCGGGCAACGGCCTCGACGTCGGCCGCTGGATCAAGACCGTCGCCAAGGTCCACCTCAAGGGGTCCCCCGAGAGCTTCACCTACGACGTCGAGCTCGAGGGCTACATGCCGAACCTGTAAGGCGATCGCGGGCAGTTGGAGTTCACAGACAGTGCGGGTTACGAGCGGGGCCGGCGCGATGATGCCGTATGATTTCCGGGGGAAGGGGGCGCGCGCGCTCAGGGCGACTGGCTCGGGGGCGCGTCCCAGGAGCTCTGGCCGCTCGTCGCGTGGTGCCAGTACTGGCGGCCCTGGCCGTCGACGTGGCTCGTCCACCCGTCGGGCGTGACGGCCTGCGCCGGCGGCGGCGGCGGCGGGCCGCCGTAGGCGCCGGGCACGAGGCCGCCGCGCGCGTAGTAGGGCGCGTAGGCGTAGGGCGCGCCGCCGCCGTAGGCGTAGGCGTAGGGCGGCACGCCGTAGGCGCCGGGCGGCGGGTAGAGCACGCCGCCGCTCGGCGCGCGGCCGTCGGCCTGCGGGTCGGCGCGCGTCGGCGCGCGCGGCGGCGCGCGCGGGACGCCGCGGAGCCGCGCCTTCGTCGCGAGCTTCTCGTTCTCGAGGCGCGCGGCGCGGCTGTACTGGGCGAGGCCGCCGGCGAAGTCGACGCCGCCGGTCTGGGGCACGAGGTACGGCGGGATGCCGTAGCCGGCGCCCGGCGGCGCGCCCGGGCCGTAGTAGGCGTCGCCGCCGGCGAAGGGCTCGAGGCGCTTGCCCCCCATGACGTCGTGCGTGAGGCGCCGCGCCTCCTCGACGGCGGCGTCGCTGCCCTGGACCTGCGGACGGGCGCGCGCGCGATCCCGCGACACCGCCGCGCGCGCGCGCGCGGAGGCCGCCGAGACGACGAGCAATGAAGCCGCGACGAACATCCGCAGACGCCGCGGCGCGCCTCGATGATGCAGGGCGCCCCCTCGGGCACGCGCTGCTCGATCTGGATGCGCGCGCCGGACCGGCGCTGGAGCTCGTTGATCGTCTCGCCGCCCTTGCCGATGACGCGGCCCACGAGGGCCTTGGGGCACTCGAAGGTCGTCATCTTGCCCGGGTTGCCGTTGCCCACGGCCGGCGAGTTGCCGATGAGGGACCGCACGAGCTGGACGCCGAGCGCGACGCACTGCGCGCTCCCCTCGACGGTGACGACGCGCGGCGTGCCCTCGGGGAAGTTCTGGTCGATCTGGATGCGCGCGCCGGACCGCCGCTGCAGGTCCTTGATCGTGTCGCCCTGCTTGCCGATGAGGCGGCCCACGAGCGCCTGGGGGCAGTGCACGGTCTCGAGCTGCTCGGGGCCGAGGCTCGCGTCGTGCATGCCCAGGGGCCCGCCGGGCCCCCAGTTCTGGAGGTAGGCGAGGCCGCCGGCGCCCATCTGCGGCGACGACGGGCTGAAGCCGTCGGGGTCGTCGCCGTAGACCTCGTCGCCGCCGGCCTCGGCGCCGCCGGCCTCGTAGGCGCCGCCGCCGAGGTCCACGGCCGCGGTCGCCGCGGCCAGCGCGTCGTCCTCGGCGTCGGACCCCCGGGGCGTCCCGGGCTCCTCGGGCGACGGCGAGCCGGACGGCGCGCCGTCGGAAAACTCCCGCGGCGCGGCGCCCGCGTCCGGTCCGGCCGTTTCTTCCGCCGCGGCCGCCGCCGCGCGCTCGCCCTCGTCGGCCGCCGGCGTTTCGTTGTTTATCCGTCGTGCCGAGCTCTCCGGGGACACGAGCGCGTGCGGCGCGCCCGCCGGCTCGGGGAAGCGGCGGGCCCGCGCCTCCGGGTCGGCCGAAGATTCGAGAGAAATGTTCTTCATCGTCGTCGCGCTGCTGGACCAGGCCCCGCCGCTGGGCGGGGGGCGCGCCAGCGTGGCCCCCGCGCCCGCGCCCGTGGGAACGGGCGGACCCAGGGCAAGGAAGCACGGAAGCACAAACGCGCGATGACCAGACCTGCGACAGAGGAAGGCTAAGGCTGTGGTCCTCGGCGGTCGATGTGAGTTGAGTCGATCGTCGGTGCACGATTGTCATCAACACACTTGCGCTGGCGTGGCATTTTCTTTCTCCCGGCGCGCTGCATGTCCGCGAGGCGGCATCCTTCGAGGTTTTTTAAGACCGGCAACCGGTCCTGGGCTCGGCACGCTGTAGAACGACGGCACAATGACGTCGAACTTGCGCACGCACAGTTAAGCGCGGTCGAGTCGGAACTCCGGGACGTGCTTCGCATCGGACTGCGCGGTCGGCGGAGAAGTCGGCGAGGAGGTCCGCCGAGTGTAGCAGCATGCAGTTGTCCAAGCGGGGGCTGGCGAGCTACGCCAAGCCCGCCCGCCCCCCACACTTTCTGTTGTAGACTGTGACACAAACTTCACTGTGGTAATTCGCTCTCCCCGAGCTGGATCGAGCTGGCAGCCAGAGCTCCCTCGGCCGCCCGAGCCCGCCGTCGACGAGCGGGTACCGACGCGCGACCGACGAGTGCGTACCGAGACGCACGCGCCCGCGCCGCGAAGCGCCGGCGCACGCGGCCCCATGCGCTCCCTGCTGCGCAGCCTCCTCCGGGCGCACCGGGGCCTGCCGGGCGAGATGCGCAAGCTCGGCGACAAGTACGTGATGAAGGAGTTCAAGGACACGCGCGACGTGACGAAGCCCGAGCACCTCGCGGCGTTCCGCGGCGCCTGGGAGCACTACCTCGCGCAGCTGCGCGCGCCGGACCGCGGCCGCGTCGGCGACGAGCTCTCGGAGGACACCGTCGACAAGATGTCCGACGAGCAGCGCAACCAGCTCATCGAGCTCAGATTAGGGGCCCAAGGAAAAAAGTAGGCGCGGAGCGCGCGCAAACGGTCCGCGGTCGTCCGTCGCTCATCTCCGACGGGAAGGTCGCCTCGGCGCGGTACTGAGGGAAGATGAGGGAGAGAGCGGCGCGCCGGCGGGCTAGCTCGTCTACTATTGTAGTGCGCTAGAGAGAGAGAGGGCGCCCCCGGAATCTTCCCCGGGCCCACACACCCCGCCGGCTGGGCTATAGATATGTTAAACTTCAACTTAGGCTCCGACCTCGGAACGCCGGCCCCGTCAGTCCGTGAGGCCGACCTCGTCGTCGGTCTCGTAGTACCTCTGGTCGCCGGCGCAGGTCGCGGGCGTCATGCTGAGGTAGGCGAGGACGGAGCCGAGGTACGTGTCCGGCGACGTCGAGAGCGCGGCCTCGTCGCCGTCGCTCCACGCGTCGCCCGCGCAGCCGACGTCCGCGCAGCCGTCGTCGTAGGCGATGTTTTCGCCCCAGGAGCCCATGCAGCCGCAGGCGACGTCGCTGCTGTCGCGGTGCGGCGCCGGGCGGTGGCTCCGCCCCGCGGGCTCGATCGCGTCCGCGGCGTCGACGGCGGCGAAGATCGCGTCGAAGTCCGACGCCTGCCGGTTCGGCGCCGAGCCGGAGATCTCGACGCCGTGGGCCGTGGCGCCGATGCGCGACAGCGCGTCGCCGCGCTCGCACCGGAGGCCCAGCCCGAGGCCGCCGTGGCCACACGTCGACACCGCGCCGTCGTCGGCGAGCGCGGGCAGCATTTCGCCGTGGTCCGTCGCGCCCGCGGCGTCGGCGCGGAAGACGACCTCGCCCGGCGACGCCTGCGTCGGCGGCGCCGACGAGGACCGCGCCCTGGGCCGCGGCGGCGCCGCGGCCCGGCTCCGGACGGACTCGAGCGCGGGCGGCCGCCTCCCTGGCGCGGCCCCGGGCCGCGGCGCCGGCGGCGGCGACCAGGCCCGCGCGCCCGCCGGGGCGGCGGCGCCGGCGTCGGGCCGGGGCTTGCGGGAGAAGAGGCCCTTGCCCTTCTTCGGCGGCCGCCACAGCCGCGGCGAGTCGTCCGTGTCCGTCCCCGGGTCGTAGGTCGCGCTGCTGCGCGGGACGGTCTCGCCGACGCCGACGGGCGACTCGCGCCCGCTGGACCGGCGCGGGGGCACGAGGAGGCTCCGCGACGGCGGCGACGGCGACGGCCGCCGCCGGTCCGCCGCCGGCGCGGACCTGGGCTGCGCCGGCAGGGCGCCGACGACGGCGAAGCTGCTCGACTCGCGGTCGACCTCGATGCTGATCATGGGCCGCTCCGAGAACTTCTCCATCTGCGCGAAGAAGGCCTGCTCCTCCTGGAGGGACGCGTCCTTCTCCTTCGTCGCGGCGAAGATGTTCGGCGTCGCCTCCAGGCCCCGGTACTTCTGCGCCTCGGGCTGCGCCATGGGGCGACGCGCCGGGGGCAGCCCCGAGGGGGGGGACAGCGGAGCCCGGAGAGGAGAACTTCTGTGCTGCACCGCGGCGCCGCGCCCCGACCCCGAAGGACCACTCGATTGGGTTCAGCTTCTTTTTAGACAACGGCTATGTTGACCAAGTTATTGAAGGGGATGCGCGCTCGACTGAGCGCCCTTTGGCCGGGGGAGGGAGGTATGTTGACTCATTGTTGAGGCCCTTAAACTATGTAGAGGCCCTCCGCGCCGGGTCTAGGGGCTCCGCTGCTTGAAGACGACGTTGCTATCGTGCTTGAGGACGTCGCGGATGCACTCGCCCTCGGGGATGGGGTCGCCGCCGGGGGTCTGGATGGCGAGGGCGGCGGCGTCGATGGGCGCGTCGTCGGGCCCGAGGTTCGTCTTCATGCGCTTCACGAAGGCCGTCTTGAGGAGGCTGATGGGCTTCGCGAGCCACTTCTCCGGCAGCGTCATCTCGTGCGTCTTGACGAACTCGCCGAAGCGGTAGTGGAGCTGCACCGTCGCCGTCGTCGCCGCGGCGCCGTCCGCGTCCGCGAACGCCGCGGCCGGCGCGGCGGCCGCGATGGGCGAGAAGGACGGCGTCGCCGGCGAGTCGGGCCCCGCGGCGGCGTCGCTCCCGCCGCCGCCGCCGTCGATGGGCTTGGGCGCGCGCCGCGGCAGCGGCGCGAGCGGGTCCTCGGCGGCGCCGCCGTCGGCCTCGGCCGTCGCCTCGGGCGGCGCGGCCTTGCGCGACTGCGCGAGCGCCGCGGCGTGGAGCGCCTTGAGCGCGTCCTCGTGCGTGAAGCCCCGCGGGTTCGTCGACTCGGGCGGCGTGTCGGCCTTGTCGGCCTTGGGCGCGGGCGTCGGCGGCGCCTCGGGCTCGGGCTCGGGCGGCCGCTCGGGCTCGGCCTGCTTCGGCGCGGCCTTCGTCGGCTCGGGCTGCTTCTTGGGCTCGGCCTTCTTCGGCGCGGGCTTCTTCTCCTCCGGCTCGGCGGCGGCGGCCTTCTCCGGCTCCTTGGGCTCGGCCTTCTTCTTCTTCGGCGCGTCCTTCTTCGGCGCCTCTTTCTCCGGCTCGGGGCCCTTCTTCTTGTCGGCCTTGGCCTTGGGTTGCTCCTTGGCCTTGGGTTGCTCCTTGGCCTTGGGCTGCTCCTTGGCCTTGGGCTGCTCCTTGGCCTTGGGCCCCTTCTCCTTGGGCGGCTCCTGCTCCTTCGCCTTCTTGGCCTTGGGCTCCTTGGGCTGCTTCGCTTCCTTCGCCTTGGGCTGCTCCTTCGGTTCCTTCGCCGCCGGCTCCTTCTGCTTGGGCTCCTTCGGTGCCGCCTTCGGCTTGGGCTCCTTCGCCGGCTTGGGCTCCTTGGCCGCGGGCTTCTCCGGCGGCGGCGGCGCGGCGGCGTCCTTCGCGGGCTTCTTCTTCTGCTTGGGCTCCTTCTCCGGCGGCGGCGCGGCGTCCTTCGCGGGCTTCTTCTTCTGCTTGAGCTCCTTCTCCGGCGGCGGCGGCGGCGCGGCGTCCTTCGCGGCCTTCTTCTTCTGCTTCGGTTCCTTGGCCGGCGCCGGCGGCGCGGGCGCGGGCGCCGCCTTCGCGGGCTTGGGCTTCGACTCGGCCTTCTTCGGCGCGGGCGCGGGCGCGGCCTTCTTCGGCGCGGCCATGGGCTTGGGATTGGGCGCGGCCTTCTTCGGCGGCGCGGGCGCGGGCTTTGGCTTGGGCTCGGCCTTCTTCGGCGGCGGCGCCTTCTTGCGCGCGTCGACGACGGGCGAGTGGGCCACGGCGGGCGCGGCCCCGGGCTTCTTCGGCGGCGGCGCGGCGCGCGGCTTCCGGTCGAAGTGGCCGCCGGCCGTCGCGACGGGCGAGAACGTCGGCGACGCGGTCGCGGGCGCCGGCGGCGGCGCGTCGCCGCCCTCGCCGTAGCGGAGCGCGCGGAGCCGCTCGGAGACGACGACGTCCTCCTCGGCGTAGCCGTTGTCCTCGTAGCGCACCGTGCACGTCGCGAGGTCGCGGCTCAGCGCGAGGACCTTGCAGTCGTGCCAGCGGCCCTGGTAGGCGACGCGGCATTTGTTGCCCACGCGGCACCAGAGCCGCTCCCGGAGCCGGTCGGCGTCGACGCGCGCCTCGAGGGAGCCGTCGTCGTGGGCGACGACGAAGGTGCCGTCCTTCTCCTGGCCCACGAGGCAGCAGTCGTACCACTGGCCCTCGCAGAGCACGGACAGCTCGCGCGCGGCGCCGATCCAGTGCGGCCCGCCCGGCGCCGGCGGCGCCGCGGCGGCGGGCGCCGGCGCCGGCGCCGCGGCCGCGCGCTCGGCGTCGCGCCGCCGCTTCGCGTCCTTGGCCTCCCGCTGCCGCGCCTTCTGCGCCGCGCGGATGTCCTGGAGGAACGCGCTCGGCTTCCGCGGCCAGCGCATCGACGCCGACATGTCGAGGGACGCGTCGACGCTCACGACCTCGACGCGCTCGCCGGCGTCGTCTTCGAGCGTGAGGTCCGCCGTCGTCTGCGACGTCCGCTCCGCGCCGACGACGACGCGGCGCCGCCACTGCTTGCCCCGGCGGACCTCGACGTCCATGCCCTCGCGCGCGCGGAGCAAGGAGTCGCCGCAGAGCCGCGCGCCCACGTCCACGCCGCCCTCCTCGAAGCGGTCCGCGTCCTCCGTGTAGACGACGGCCGCCTCGCTCCGGTCCGCGGTCAGGGCCGTCACCTCGCCCTCGTACCACTCGCCGTCCCGCTCGACGCGCACGCGCATGCCCACGGCGGGCCACTTGGGCTTCGTGAACGTGTGCTGCGGCTTGCGGGCCGCCATGACGACGTCGAAGGCGACCGGATGCCGGGCGCGGGGGTCCTTGGCTTCTCGCGACGCCGGCACCGAAGGCGACTGGACTGCTGGATGCGGGCTGGATGCCGGGCTGCCAAAATCTCGTTGGTTGACCTTTTGTGAAATCCCAGATGCGGCTCGCCAGACACCGCTGTGGCAGCTCCTCCCCGCCCGGCAGCCGCCGCAAGTCGAGCGCTGTCCTGGACCGGCGTACTGCAGCAGCGCCAAGTCGACCGCGAGACCGCGAAGCTCGAGCCGTGCAACCGCTGGTTACGATGGCGGGGGAGGCCCACGCGTCGGCCGCGCTCCTGTGCTGGTGGCTCGCCGCGGCGCTGAGCGCCGCGTGCTATTTCCACGGCGACCTCATGCTGCAGGCGCGCACGAGCCTGTCGAGCCTCGTGCGCGCGCTGCACGTGACGACGTCCATGGCCATGGCCGCGCTCGCGGGCGCGACGCTCGCGCCGACGCGCGTCGACGTCGCCCTGGCCTGCGCGGGCGAGGCGCCGGCGGCGCGGCGGTGCCTCGTCGCCTTCGGCGTCGTCTTCTGCGGCGCGCTGCTCTCGCTGACGCTCGAGACGGCCGTCTTCCAGGGCTTGTGCCGCCGCGCGACGTGGCTCCGCCTCTCGCAGATCGCGATGGCGGGCCTCTTCGCGCAGGTCGTCGCCCACCGCGGCGACCTCCTCTGCACGGCCTGGGAGCGGCGGAACCTCGGCGCGCCGGCGAACCGCGCGGCCTTCGCCATGGTCTACGTCTGGTCGGCCATCGCGTTCGCGCTCTGCGACCGCGTCGAGGCGTCGCTCGACGCGGGCGACGACGACTCGGACGACGAAGTCGACGAGGAGGACCCCGCGGGGCCGCCGACGCCCGACGGCGGCTGGTCCTCCGTCAAGGCCGCGTTCGCCTTCGCGGAGGGCGACGGCCGGACCGCGAAGGGCGACAAGTGCAGCTAGTAATTTTGCAACCCGGACCCTCTCCGACTCCGCCGCGACGACGGGCGCGCAGCTAGGCGGTTAGTCAACCGGCGGCGGCGCGTTCCCTAGCCCTTGAACTCCGTGGCGAGCTCGTCGATGTGCTCCCACATCTTGTGCTCGATGTACATCTTGAGCACGCCCATCTCCTCCTGCTGCGACTCGATGAGCTCCTCGAGCTGGCCCATGCCGATCTCCTCCTCGATGGCCTCCTCCTGCGCGGGCGCGGCGTCCAGGCGCGCGCGCGCTCCGCGGGCGCCGGGCGACGCGCGTCCTCCGTCGCCGACGCGACTTTGATGCGGTACGCCGCGGTCGCCTCGATGCTTTTCCTGTACTCGTTGTGCGCCGGGATCTGCGCGGGGGCGGGGCGTCGCGCCGGGACGGCGTCGAAGCAAAGGGCGCCGGCGACGCGCCTCCTTGACGGCCTCCAAAAGCTCCTCGTTGAGCGCGATGAGGTTGACGCGGCCCTCGGGATCGACCTTTAACCCGACGAGCCCCGTCGTCGTCTTCGTCACCACGGGCCGCCGCGCGGCCTTGGCGGCCAGCGCCGGCCGCACGGATCGCGTCGCGACGCGGCTCAGGAACATGGCTGCTGCGGCGGCGCGACGCTGGCCTCGATTGATGGACCACCTCGTCGCTCGGCTCTCGCGGCAACCGGTCGGCATCGGCGGCTTATTGGACCCTGTTGCCCCGGCTCGGCACGATGGAGTCAAGGGGAGGCCGTGGTGACTCGCCCCCGCCTCGCGCGCACCTGCGTCCGGCTCCGCTGCCCTCCGCCCCCGCCGCTCTGTCGCTCGCCCAGCATGGCGGCTTCCTAAGCGCGCTGCCGCTCGTCGCCGAGTTCCTCGTCGGCAGCGACGGCCCGCTCTCCTCCCTCACCTTCTTTCGTCCTCCGCTAGAAGACCAGCAGCATGAGCATACCCTGATCCAGGGATACTATACGCTAGCCCCCGGCGAGCAGCTTTTCCTCGGTGCCGCCGAACGCGCGCTAGCCGTCGAACGCGCGCGGTACACGATTCTGCTACCGCTGCGCCTCGTGGCCAAGAGTTGGCGCATTTCGGCAACGGGCTACGATCGGGAGCTCCGGACGGTCTCGACGGCGGCAACGGGCGACGTCGTGCCTTTTCCGCTTCGATGCGTTCGGAAGCTCGATATCAGCCTTATCGGCGTTTGCGATTGGAACTTCCCTCAAGTCAGAGGAGTCCTATCGTCGCCTTCCTGGTTGGGAAACCTTGTTCTCCTCGAAGAGCTTCGCGTACATCAATACGAACACTTCCACGTGCCAGAACTTCCCGCATTGCCCCTACTGAAGCGGATCTACTTCGACTGGAGTGATTTCATCGAATCTGCGGAGGGAATTCGCGACCGAAAACTGGAGTACATCGCTTTCTGTCCCCAACATGCCAAGTTCAAGACCGAAAAGCCGGAGTTGTACGAGGCAGTCGCGCGCGCATTCGATGGAACTGTGTGCGGCCAGACGCTCCGCGAACTTTGTTTCCATTCTCAACCCTTCACCACTTTGCCCGAGGGTCTTCGCAATCTTCGTCTGACGTCGCTCGACATCTCCGACACGGATGTAAGAGAGCTCCCCGAATGGCTCGGCAACCACCCACTTGTTCGACTTCAGCTCTCAGTATCGAGCATCGAGACACTTCCGGCATCGCTGCGCGCTTGCCAGTCGCTGCGTTTTCTGGGGCTGGCGAACACAGCGCTCGGGACCGCGCTTCACTGTGAAACATTCCTTAACGACCAAATTGGTCGTGTGAGCATGCGCCTTCCTGGTGCCAGCATCCGGAGATCTCGTGTGCCCCTCAGCAGTGTGCCCGCTTCTGAGATCCAGCGGCGCACCGACGAACTGATGGCAATTTCGCTTGCGCTGCCAGATCTCAGGATCAGCTTTGATGATAAGCCTCGGCAAACTGAGGACGCCGCCCGTCACTGGCACGCGCGCTGTGGCATACCATGGACGGACCCCGCGTTCTATCTCCGGCGCTAGGGCATTCTAAATCCCGTACTTACGATTCCACTCTTCCCACTCGCCGTCGGAGATCGTGTGGTCCCAGGGCCTCCCGAGGAAGCCCGCGGCGTAGTCGGCGTTGGCCTGGGCGAGCTCGGCCTCGCTCGACACGACCCACGTGCCCGACGAGACGACGGGCTCCCGGATGGGCATGCCGACGAGGAGCAGGATCTCCGCGGGCGCGTCGCCGTCGTTCGTCACGCGCAGCGCCCCCGCGCCCTTCTCCGTGTAGGCGAGCGTGTGGCGCGGCACGGCGTCGCCGCCCACCGCCACCGCCCCCCGCCGAGTATACAGCAGCGCCGTCGCGTCGGCGGGCACGTCGCGCGCGTAGGACGCGCCCGGCGCGAGCTCGACCTTGCGCAGCAGCACGTCCTCGCGCGCCGCGCCCGGCGCCCGGATCGCGCCGTCGGGCGTCAGCGCGCCGCCGAGGTCCGTTTCCAGCACGCCGTCGCCCGCGACCGTCGCCAAGTCCGCCGCGCGGAGCACCTCCGTGGCCGGCTTCGACATGGACAGCGCGGCGGGCAGGTTGACCCAGAGCTGGTAGAGCTCGCACTCGCCGCGCCGGCTCTTGTCGGCCCAGTGCCACATCTCCTCGTGGAGGATGCCCTTGCCCGCCGTGAGCCACTGGACGTCGCCGTCGCCGTACGTCTCCTTGACGCCCGCGGAGTCGCGGTGCGCGAGGCCGCCGCGGAGCGTCATCGTCACCGTCTCGAAGCCGCGGTGCGGGTGCGCCGGGAACCCCTCGGGCACGATGAGCTTCTCGAAGACGGGGCGCACGGGATCCCAACAGTCGAAGCCGTGGCGGTGGTGCACGAGGAGCACGAAGGGGTTCGCGTCCGGGCCGAGGCTCATGGGCGCGACGCGGCCGCCGAACCTCTCCTCGAGCGCCGCCGCGGCGTCGCCGAGGCCCACGAGGTCCAGCGCGATGCACGCGAGGCCGTTGACGACGGGCCACACCGGCAGCCGGATGGGCTTGTCGAGGCGGGCGACGCGGCGCGTCGCCGGCGCCGGCGTCGCCGGAGTGGGAGCGGCGACGCGTTGCGCGGGCGCCGACAGCGCATGGGCGCCGGCGGCGCAGAGGATCGCGAGCACGACTCGCCGCGGAATTGGCCTCTCCATCCTGCCAGGGGTAACTTTGGCCAGATCGCACAAGTTGAATTTGGCAGCCCAGCCATTCAGCATGGCTTCCGCGAGGCTGCGTGGCTAGCTCGAGCTCAATTCTACTCATTCGCCTGCTACTACGCTACGATGGCCGCCACGCAACTCTCCTGGCACGTCGTCGCCGCCAAGAAGGGCGCCCTCGTGCGCGAGTCGCCGGCGCTGCAGTCGGCGCTCGTCGAGACGCTGGAGCCGGGCACGCGCGTCCAGGTCGCGCGGCCGCACGTCGTGGTCGACGGCGGCACGGAGCGCGCCCGGGTCGTCTACCCCTGCCACGGCTACGTGAGCCGCAAGTGCCTCGGGGACGTCGAGGTCGCCGGCGCGCCCGCGCGCATCGCCGGGAAGCGGCCCGCGACGGTGCGCGTCGGCGTCGAGCTCCACAGCGAGGAGGTCGGGGACCTCGCGCTCGGCACGGAGGTGCTCGTGGACGGCGCGACGCCGCCGGGCCACTGGAAGGCGCGGAGCTACACGCGGCTCCTCGCGCCGCTCGCCGGCTGGGTGCCGACCGCGACCCTCGGCACGTCCGTCAAGGTGCTGGACCACGGCGACGTGCGCATGGGCAGCTTCCGCGACTTCTCCATGCACTGCCGGGCCGGCCTCGCCGACGTCTGGGCGAAGAACACGGCCACGGGCGCGTTGCCCGGCGCGATCAAGGCCTTCGCGGCGGCGGCCGAGGGCATGGACGGGTCCCTGCGCCGCGACCGCGCGCAGCTCGTCGACAAGCGGCGCCAGGAGATGGGCGACGCGCCGAAGCGCCCCTCGGTCATGGGCGGGCCCTGCCGCGCGGCGCGCGCGGCGCCGCGGAGCGCGGCCGAGACGCGGCTGCTCCGCGACGCGGACGCCGTCGCCGGCCGCGTGTCCGTCGTCTGCCCGACCTACGACGGCCGCCACCGGCTCCACGCCCTCCTCTACGACTGCTTCGACCGCCAGGTCGGCGTCCCGGACAAGGAGCTCGTCGTCTTCGACACGGGCGGGGCGCGGTCGCCGTTCTTCGAGGCGTGCGACGACGACCGCGTGACCTACGTCTACCAGCGCGCCGACCTGACGACGGGCGAGAAGCGGAACCGGCTCCTCGAGCTCGCGACGGGCGAGATCTGCGCGAACTTCGACGACGACAACTTCTACTGCGCGCGCTACCTCGAGATCATGGTCGCGCAGCTGCGCGCCGCGGACGCGGAGCTCGTGTCGCTGTCCCAGGCCTTCGCGATCTGGATCCGCTCGGGCAACGTCGACCGCATCGGCGGCGGCATCGAGGGCCGCGGCGAGTCCTTCGTCTACTTCAAGCCGCACCGCGTCCAGGAGTTCGGCGGCATGCGCGTCGGCGAGGAGGGCGCCTTCGTCCACGGCCAGAGCCACCACGTCGTCCAGGACACGTACGGCTACTACGCGCACACGAACCACGGCAAGAACGTGAGCTCGGCCGTCGGCGGCGGCGGCCGGCTCGCGCTCGCGGACATCCCCAACCCGGAGCTCGCGACGATGATCCGCGAGCACCGGTTCCGCTTCCTCGAGGAGGGCGCGCCGGCCATCGGCGAGGAGGACGCGTCCTCGGAGTCGGACGACGACAGCGAGAGTAACGGCGACGATTAGGCGCGCCTACGCCGGGGGCCAGACCCAGGACGTCGCCTGGGTCACCTCGTTGTAGTAGTACGTCTTGCCCGACGCCGCGTCCTCCGCGGAGCGCCAGTCCGACAGGTCCGCCGACGCGTGCGCCGGCGCGCCCGCGACGGTGGCCTCTGCCTCCGCGATCGCCGGCGCCGCCGCGGCGGCCGCGTCCGCGACGTCCGCCGCGAAGGGGCAGCCGCCGGCCGCGGCGGCTCTGGCGAGGTCGCCCGTCGCCCGCTCCGCCGCGGCGCCCGTCTTCGAGAGGTCGTCCGTCGCCGCCACGCCCGACGCCTCCATCATGCCCCGCGCCAATTTCAGGACCTCGATCTTGGTGCGGTCGACGCGGTTCCCCTCCATCGCGGACCAGTCGCGCGTCCGCAGCATGTCGTCCAGCAACCCCGCGCCGACGAAGCGCAGCGTCTCCTCGTTCTGCTGGTAGACGAGGCCCGTCGGCAGCCCCCTCTGCGCCGCGCGGACCTGCGGCGTCCGCAGGATGTTGATCATCGGGAACGGGCTCCGCCGCGCGAAGTTCGCGGCCGCGTCGGCGCCCGTGCGCTCCGCGCCGTCCCGGAAGACGTAGTCCGGGTGGAAGAAGACGAGCTGGAGCTGCGACTCCAACCCTAAGCCCGCGGCCTGCGCCTCCGTGCCTGTCTGCAGGGCTTGCGCTAAGGAAGCCCCGAACGTCTCGAACGCCTCCAGATTCTTCAGCCAGAACTCGTCGGCGCAGATCAGCAGCGACGTCGCCGCCCGCGGGTGGTCCTCGAGCCAGGCGACCTCCTTCCAGTACCAGGAGTAGACGCTCTCCGCGTCCGCGGCCCGCGTGACGTCGTAGCGCACGTCTCCGAGCGGAAGTCCCGCGCGGTCCGCGGACAGGCTGAAGGGGCAGATGCCCGCGTCGCTCACGATGGCGTTGGTCCAGTCCTTGCAGCAGCGGACGACGCCCGCGTCGTCCAGGGGCGCGTGCGCCGCGGCCGACGGCGGCGGTTTGGCGTCGAAGTCGCCGTCGTCGCCGGCGCCGGCGCCCGCGAGCATGGCACGCATCTCCGGGCTCAGGAAGTCGTCGTCGTCGCCCCAGTCATCGTCGTCGTCGAAGGCGTAGGGGTCCGACGACGCCCGGCCTACCCGGCGCACGCGGACGTCCGACCGCCCCTCGGGCGCGACGACGACCGCGCTCCCGAACGAGTCGCAGTTGTCCTTGCAGCACTCGAGGTGCTCGAAGAGCGCGGCGCGCACGGTTGGGGAGCCCATCTCCGCGCAAGCCGGGAACCGCAGGACCGCGCCCCCTTCGGGCGGCGCCGCGACGACCTTCCAGAGGTCCGCCAGGGCCTTGGGCACGCTGTCCGCGTCGGACACGACGTCCTCCGCCGTTGTTTGCTCAGGCTCGGCCAGCACATGTCGGATGCTCGCGCGCCGCGCGCCGCATCGCAGCGGTGCGACGAGGGCCGTCGCCACAGGGAGCAAAAGGAGCGCAAGCATTCGTGCCATGCCCTGTTCGAGGCCTTAAACGTCAAGTTCAAGGTTGTTCCGAGGTCGACGATGACGCCGTCGAGCATGGGCTGCACCCAAGCTTCGAGCCACTGGGGTAGCCTGCATCCCATCGACCAAAGCGACTGGGGTAGCCTGCAGTAATGTGCGCGTGCATGATGAGCACGCACCAAGCATGTGGATGAAGTGCATAGTCTAGCATGAAAGGCGGCGTCGAGCTCGTTCCGACGCACGACGACGAGGAAGACCGCGCCTGGCTCGCCCGCGAGCGCGAGCCCGACGAAGAGAAGCAGTGGGTCGACGAGGCGGCGGCGGCGCCGCCGTCGCGCTGGCGCTGCCTCACGCAGCCACTCACGCCGGACACATGGCGCTTTTTGCCGACGGAGCACGTACGATTGCTCAAATTCATGCTCGTGAGCTACGCGCTCGTCGTCGCGACCCACGCCTTCATCCGCGCGCACGCGTCGACGGACAAGTGGGAGCGCGACGAGCGCTACTCGCTCGACGAGTTCCACCTGTTGGATTTGCACCCCTGCGCGCTCGACGCCCTGTGGTTTTTCGTCGTCGGGCGGTATTGGCGGCGCAACGGCGTCGACAGCGCGTGCTTCCTGGGCCCCTGCGTGCTCGGCGCGTACGTCTTCTCCGCCGTCGGCTCGTGGCCGGTCACGCACGAGAGCATCTCGCTCTACGCGATCAAGTGCGTCTGGCCGCGGGCCTTCGTCGCGCTCCTCGGCGGCGTAGTAGCGCTGGTCCTGGCGCTCGCGCTGCTCCACGTCTGGCGCGCCTGCAAGGACGGCCTCGTGGGCGGCCGCGTCGCCGAGATCGCGGTCACGGTCCTGATCTTCTGGCTGCCCCGCGCGCGCGACTCGCAGTTTCACGTGCACCACTGGTTCCTGACCTGGTTCATCGGCCAGCACGCGAACCAGGACGCGTGGTGGAGCGTCGCGTCGTCGGGGATCTTGTGGGGCGGCTACGTCAACGGCGTCGCCGCCTGGGGCCGGGACCACCCCCTGGGCTGCAAGGCGTCCTACTACGCGTCGGAGAACCAGCGCTGCGGCTACATGGACTGCTTCGAGCGCCACTACTACGTCGTCCACAACGCGACGGCCATGCCGCCGCCCGCGGACTCGTTCGAGGCGTCGGACTGGCGCCACTGCGGCGCGAGCTATGCGCCCTAGCACGCTAGCTACTATAGACGGAGTTGCTGTCGAAGCCCGACTCGACGCTCGCGCTCCGCTGGGACGCGACGCTCCGCTCCGCGGCCGACGCGACGGACGCGTCGCCGCGGCTCCGCGCGCTCGTCGGCGCGGAGGGCGGCTTCGGCGGCGCCTTGTCGGGCGCGCCGGCCTCCGTCACGTCCGCCGGCGGCAACAGGTCGGGGATGCCGTAAAAGTCGTTCGGGAAGGCGTAGGGGTCCTCCGCGTCGAGGTCCTTCTCCGTGGGCACGCGGAAGATCTCGCGCTCGTCGCGCTCCGGGTCGCGCGCGAGCACGC